ATCCATCCATCCATCCATCCATCCATCCATTGTTATTCTTGTTGACGTAACAAATGTTTTGTTATACATTTTCAGACTAAGAATGACGATTGAATAATGTTTCAGTCACAAAAAGAAATCAGTCTCAATCTCAGTTGTGACCTTGATTAAACCTGACATGGTAAATGTATTATCTGCAGATAAACCTACAGATAATACGTTAATCATGTCAAGTTCATTCACTAGAAATCAAGCCCGGATTGACTGAAGATTCTCGGCCAGTCGGAAAAGAAATAAGGAGTTCAATTGTACAATGATTTAAGTTATTATAACTGAACGTATATCGTTTACTGATTTCATTTACAATTAATGCTTTTGTACAGACGTTTCGGTCCTTCAACAAAGACCTTTCTTTATAATAGCTGTCGATGTTTTTCTTTGTTTATTGATGATTTTCCGTTTATATATATATATATATATTTTTTTTTTTTGTTTCGTTGTTTTCTTAAAGTACTTAGAAAAATAAGATCGCGCAATCAATTGTTAGGTTATATAACAGCCTTCCTTTAAACGAAAATTTTGTTTCTTTATAATAATTTTTACCTTAATGCTCAAACTTTTAACTGACTTCTGCCATTCCATCAACGGACACTCGGTGCAACGATTCCATGCAATCAGTGTTCAGTTGTATGCTATACTCATGTCACACGTTTCTTGCTCGCAATGTAACTCCCTAAAAAGCGATCCAGATTTCAGAAACATTACGGCGCGATGTTGTACTGTGTGTCCGTCGCTTTAGATAGAATGGCAGAAGCCAGTTAAAAGTGTATGCATTCCGGTAAAAATCTAAGAAGCTTAAATAAGGCGAGCAAACCAATACACACGCAGGAGAGAACGAAAATGAGGAGGGAAAGCAGAAATAATTGGATATAATCTAAAAACGGTTTCTTTTCACACGTCCATTGAGTGCTAGGGGGGCTTTTTCTTTTCCCTTCACATGGAATCAATGTAGTGGCTCTAAGATTCTATTTAATTTCAGTGCAAACGCTGCGATAATTACTTGCTTATCAGTTTTACTATCCAGTGTCATATTTATTCAATATCTACCAATGTCATACTAATCAGTAGCTTTGTCGTGAATAGGTCGGCTGACAATACGGGAAAAAAGAAAAGAAAAAAGGAATTTGCTTTTTTGAAAATTAAGAGTTTGCCTCATTCAATGACTAAATTATACCATAGTTGCCATTAAAAATATTTTTACGGACGTACCTCATTTTAAACTAAATGTATCAATGAGCAATTGTTTATATAAATATGAAAATATAAATTTCGATCGTGTTATGCTAAACTTTTTAATTTGTACCTTTTTACTTACCACAAAAAGAATCACCAAATTAATCCTTGGATCTTTAATTATCTTTCTTCTAGGTGACTAAAAAGATATTAAATCTTTCTTGCTTTTTTCTTGTAACTTTTCCAAGGGCTTTTTATCTAATTTCATTGTTTGCTTTGTGAAGCTTAGGGATTTGTGCAGAATGTTCTCTTCACAATTTTCAAACCTGACTAGAATTTTTGAACTTTGAGTGAAGATTGTAAACTATAATTTTGAATTGATGAAGTCGTGTAGTTCGGAAGTTAGAATAAATGATAAGAAAATTTACTCAAAATTTCAAATGCTAATTACAGGCACCTGTTTTCGGCAGTGCTTCCTTGCTACCTTTTAAAATAAAGGTGTTGTTGCCGGTAGCATGTTGCGATGGCAACACAGTTGATTCTGAAATTCATTTCATAGATATTGGAATTCTGATTGAAATTTAAGAGTTGATTTTTCTGAAGCAAAGAAAAAGCAAAATGACTTAAAGAAAAAAACTTAAAGAGAGTATCAAAAATTAACTCCACTCACAGTACTCACTCAAGAAAAACCAGTCGAATGATTAAAAGAAAAGCACTTGAGGCACAGGAGAGAATTAAAAAGCACCTCTGCTCACGTAGCATATGACAACACAGTTAATTCTGTTATATATAGTTCCATAGATATTGATTTCGTTGATTGGGTGATTTACAAGATAATTTACACCTTATCATTTTGAAGTTTAGTCGGTTTTTGGTTTAATTTCTGAAAAGAGTTGTTAGAAGTAATTGCTAAATAATTAACTTACAAAAGAATAAATCAGCTTTTTTTCTACTTTCAAGTTGTATGGTAAAAATAGCATATTTTTTCGTCAATTCAAAAATTATGATAAAGAAATAGCCAATTTAGCTTTGGCATTTCTACATAGAAGCTCAACTATAGAAGTTGATTTTGGGGGTAAGGAGAACCAGGAGAACTTGAAAATCCTCGAAGAACAGGATAGAACCAACAATCAACTGTACTCACAAGCGACACGACAAAAATTAGCAAAAGAAAATCGTATTAAATAAGATAAATACAAGGTGTAAATTTTACCACCTCAGATTTTGGCTTAGACACAACCTTTGTCGCTATCTTGATAACTTTAACTAGACTTCACTATGCAGCATTCAAAAAAACCATTATTTTAGAACAAAAATATATAGACTGTGTAAACTGTTATATCCGTTAAAAACCTGTGTTAAAAAATAAATATTTTTTATAAAAATCAAACTAGATTCACTGTTGTGAAAGTGTAGATTTTGGCTTCCTTAAATATATTTGCCACGATAACAACACAATTTTAATTCTATAAAATACAACTTCTACTTACCATGAATAATACGTCAAAACCGTATGTTTTTTTGTTTCCTGCACGTATTGCGAGTTTTTTCGTGACCCTAGTTCGAAGTTTTCATATTCAAAAAAAATATGTAAAAAACCAAACAAGTGTCAAATTCCAACTTCACTCGCGATAATATTATCGCCAATGACATAGAACCGTATCTTTGCTTGATCAGCTGATGACATCTCAATAAGGAAGGAAACCAATCACATTTATTTGCATAACTAGCGCTGTTTTCGTTGAAAAAACCCTGATAATACGACTACTTGGAAAATTCAATTCAAAGTGAATTTCACAAGTAGAAAAAACGTTTCACTAGCGGCTGAATGAACATGTTTCAAGATGATTCAAGAGAACAGCTGTTGAAATCTAATTTGTTTTCCATTTCTATTTTTATTATATTTTATTTATTTTGTTATTTTAGAATAATTTGTTTATGAGCAAAAAATATATATTATGCAGAAAGAGGAAAAATAGATAACGAATTAGGTAGATTAAGTTATTGGACTAGCTGTCATTCATTTGTATATTAGTATTTGGAAATAATTGGATGAAAAAGATTCCGAGGACTGGCAAAATTGGAAGAGGCCGATTTTCCGAGCCCAATTTGGCAGTCAGTGGCTATCAACCATCTTTCTTTAATCAGTTTTTAACTCCACATTTTTCTTGTTTAGGTAAAGCTTTTTATTGGATCAGTTGTTCCTAACATAAGACCGACGATGGCTTCATCAATCATCCTCACAGAGCTACTTGTAAATAACGCCACGAGAAAAGAGTTTGTTTACTTAATATCGCTATTTCATCCCGGAGTCAAAAGCACCCTAATCTTTCTATCTGTTATCATGACGGTCTTTGGTGTAAGCACCGGCCTCTTTGTCTTGTCAGTTAAAGCTCAGCAACTACGAAGCAAAATGACTTGTTTTCAGGTCAGATTTCGACGGTCAGTGACGTCATACCTCATGACCGCCACTGTTAACCCAAGTTTGATGATGATGGAACTTTTTATTGAAGACATGCACAAAGGATGGCAATGTCAGACGAATCGTTTCTTTGTGTCCTTATCATTTTCTATTACTGCACAACAGCATCTTTGTTGTTTCCATTGGCATTTGCTGCCTTTACCGTTGTTCGTAAAACGAGCAATCGTTGTCATTTGGAATGAGGCTTTTATACTTTCTCTTCTCATTTGCGTACATATCGTCCCAGAAGATCGATTTGAATTCGTTTCAGTACACCTTTGTTTGCCAACTTGATTTAAACCAACTACATTCTCGATTAATCAGTTTTCTTTTCTTTTTTCTTGTAGTCTACGCTACCCCCTATCATTCATGTTATACTCAACTTTCTCTATTCTCTCCTTCATCAACAAGAAAAGCTATCAAAACTAACCGTTATTCAGAAACATAAATTCAAAAAAGCTCGTATATTTACAAATGTTGTTTTTTGCTTTTATCGTGCCATATTCGTTCGTTTTCGTTGATGGGATTGTTATAGCATTCGTACCAGAGACAAATGTTAAAATGGATTTGTCCATTCGATATTTTGGTGCAATGTTAGCATTTTCGGACTGCTGTATAAATCCAATAATTTATTTCTGTAAAGGCAGGGCGTGTAGACAACTAGTCGAGGCGACTTTAAGAAAAAACTGGAAAAGAGATGGATTTCCTCAGAATAAAGTGCTTAAAAAGTAAATAATTACTTTCAAACCATCGAGAACCCTTTGAGCGATCGACAAGCTTGAGGTTTAGCAGTTTAGCAATATTGTAATCCAGGCATTATACTTTGGTACGATTTTCTTTTTCTTCAAATTTTCGATCCATATTTGATCTGTTAGTTGTTCGCGACGTCCCGACTTAGATCAGCCCATAGGTTCTTTCAGGGTTC